GAAACTTCACGTTAGCATGGTTAAAGTCATGCGTATCCGATCGAAAGCAAATGGTAAAGATCGATGCTAATTTCTCAAGACCCACGGCAGTTCCAAGGTAGATTACTGGATCGCATCGCTTTTCTTATCTACACCAATGACATTTTTGGAAAAATCATTCTATATGCTGATGACATAAAGAAACGTTTACTCATCCAACAGGAATGGTACGTGGGCAGCGGTCCAACGTATTCAGTATGATCTTTCATCCCGAGAATCCTGGTGTCGTCTGTGAGAAACGGAGCTGGTTTCAGATAAATAAAAAAGCCTTCTTTATGAATGCCATATTCCACCAGAAAGACTCAAAGCACGCAACGCACTTCCATTTGAGACCTTAGTGTGCAGTTTCAGGTAATGTTTGGCTTCTAACCGCTGTGTCAAGCAATGCTCGCGGAGGTCAATGGCGATAGCCGCCAAGCGCTTTGCGCCGAGTTCTACTCACAGCTCTGCTATCTCTACCTGGTGAGTCAAAACCCAGACGAAGCCGTCGATCATGGTGCAGGATTGGGCGAGAGCTACACCCAAACCCTCCACTTCGATGACGGTCCCAGTGACCGTATTGGCAGAGGCTGACTTCAAAATCAACCGAGGCCACGATTGAGATTGCGTGTCACAATGCAAGATACACGACGGATGCTCCAAATCAAAGGTTTGACTTTTTTGAGAAATGTAATTATCAGATACTGAATGCCAAAAAACTACCGGTTACATCTGAAAATCGTTCCGGCTTCGTAAAACTAGATCTAAACTATCTGTGGCATATGTGCTATTCAAATTAGAAAAATGCTCATTTGTGTGCACTAATATGCAGAAGTGTGGTGAAATAGCTATTGAGATGGTGCAGAGAGACCTCAGGAAGTAATTAATCGGGTGCTCTACTACTATGATGTGCCATGAGCAATGTCAAGAACTTGGTCTTAACATCAGCGATACGACGGCAGACCGTACGAATGTTTGGCTGCCGCGCGAACTCCGCTGGTCGTGCGTGGGTTGGTTATATCGCGAATTCACCCTCACCAACGCAGATCCGAACCGGTGACCTCCAGAGTACAAGCCAAGCACGTAATCTTTTCGGCTATCGGTCGACAAGTTGGTCTTGATCATCTATGACTACGGAGGCTGATAAGCGTCCTCTGCTATCTATACTGAGTCATCAACTATTCTATAGATGTTGACATCAGTAGCGTGCACGCAGATGGCAGTGAACGGCATGAAATCAGAGACAATGCACAGAAGCCTCAAGTACTAAGGTGCCGCACAAAGACAAGGGCGAAGTTTTTCCTGCTAGTGCATTCCTAAATATGGAACAAAATGCTAGAAAACATTAAGCAAATAAAGCTGCTGAAGATTTTTGAGAAATACGAAGGTACTGTATAGATATCACTAAAACAAACACATTGAACACAAAGGGGGAGTCAATGAATTATCTGAAAGGGGTGTGGGTAGCACGCATTAAGAACGAAAAACCTCGAAAAAGCACTCTCTCGTCGATTTTTCCCTTTACTCAGTCATGCCTGCCTCGCGGCTCCCATGTCCACATGGAATTCGAAAAGGTAAAACAAACCGAGCGCTTATTTCCAATTTATGATCTTACTTCTTCTTGCGGGCCCGTCAAATATCCGCAAAAACGCGCCAGAAACTTCGACATAGTGGATGAGGAAAGCGGGGTCCCATTCCTTCCCACAACGTAGCAACATTTAGCCACTCCAAGACGCGGCCCAACTGCGCACCTGGTGACAATGTTCTTTTGCAAACTACCTCTCCGTCGTGGTAGTAATTTTCTCTAACTTAATGACTCATTGCATTGGCTGTGATTTGTCCTTTGTTGGTCGTAAAAGAGCCTTCACAGGACCAGTTGCCTTTCTTCCTCTTCGCCATAGTTGGGAGTCGGTCGGGTCCCGTGATTTTGTGTGCGTCGATAGCCGGGCAGCGTTCACGTCTAAGTCATTAGCACGTGTCTACCGTAAGCCCCTCTCGTGTGTGTCCGTTTCAAGGGCTCAGCATCTACCCGAATAAGTGCGGCTAGGATCGTTCTCACGCTCGCTCAATTTCCGTCTCACCCGGTCTAAGCTAACGCCATCAGGTCAGCGCAAATCCGTTCGATTGGCCTGCGTTCCAAGCCGTTACCGTAAGCGTGCTCCAACCGTGGCAGTGACAAGCTTACCAGGCATCTACGCCATCATGACAGTCGCGTCCCTCAAACATAACACTTTTCTGCAATGTTTAGTCAGCAATACTCACTTACAAGCTGTCATGTCCCTCTGGAAGTCGAAGAGAAGAAACAAAGCGATCTGTTTGCTTCTTAATTCATCCTCCCTTCGTCAAATGTGCGATGCCTACTTCGCGGCTCTCGCGTCGGAATGGGATCCGCAAAGAAAGAAACCAAACTTTTATCGGCATTCTTAATGCTGTTACTCGGCCCCCATATGAGGAAGGCGTAAATGATAGAATTACTCGAGTAACAGCAATCGGTCCCAATTTTATCTAAGGCACTATGTCACAAAGCCCTCTCGTGCTTCTTTTCTCATCGCTCGTTTCTCATCAGTAGCCATGATCGCCCTTAAATAATACAGAATCTCCTCCGGATTGGTAACAATCTACATTAGTTATTAATATGAGTAATCAAAATAGCTTTTTCGTGCATGCGCATGTACAACTCAACGTAGGTTAATTCAATTTACTTAAGTGTACATAGATTAACCTCACTATGAATGACATGCGAGGAAAAGGGGAATGACAATTAGCAAAGTTTTCCGTGAAAACGCAGAAAATATTCAAAAAGGAAGCTACTTTGAATTCGCTTCTGTTATAATCATTAGGACAAATAAGCTTTAACAAGCAGAGTTTGTCACAGAAAATGAGACATCATTTAGGACCAAAACCACTGGACAGAGTGAAGGAGTTTCTTGGGGAATACTACTTACATAACGCGGATAAGGCATCACAGTTTTGTTCTTGTGTGAAGAGATTACAGATCTATCTCCAAAATCAACTGTGGTTAATTATATTCACAGCCGAAAGCCACGTCAGAAAAAAAGCCCACAAGGAAGAGGAAGTAGCTTGTTGCTAAGGAGAACTAGCTCCGAAGAAAACTAGACAAGCAGGCATCGTTAGTTCCATCGCCGTTGTAAATGCTGTCCAAGAAGCCCGTAACACAGTGGCATCTGCGTATATTCCTATAGAGAAGGCCGACAACCTCCAGTTGAGGGAGTCTTCAGAGGCACCCACGAAATGGTACAAACACTGCCGTATCTAACGCGCTACATCTGAAAACTCATCAGCTACAGGGGAAACACGAAGAGATATTGCATGAGATGTTCCGTGATACCTGTCAGCGTCATAACAGATGAAACAACGGATGAACGCGGGAAGATAGAACTGCTAATCCAGTTATGCTCGCTATTGAAGTCTAGCAAGGGCAGTCTGCGAACATGCCTTATGGACACGGTCAAGTTGGAGGAGTCTTTCTACGCAGCTTGACAACGGTGGGCATCAACCTCAGTCGTGTGACGGCTTTCGTGTCCTGTGCGCAAGACAGCGTGCTACCAAGATGTCATTAGGCCTGTGAGGATGTAATTCAGATTAGATGTGCTGTCCATTGCAGCAATTTGATTGAAGAGACCAATCGCAAATTCTCCCCGGAAGTCGACAAAGAGCCGTGTCAACATGGATTATCTAACTCAGGATGGCGTGGATAACCCAACCGGCCCACATGCACCACTCGCAACCTGCTGGAACTACTGGCTGGAAGCTGTCGCACATCACAACAAGTATCTCCATCATTATCGATCCATGCTGCAAGCTGTACAACTTAAGTTTGGAAGTTCAGCTGGTGTTTGTGAATTTGTGGATCTTCTAACCAACGTAAAAAAGAGCAAGCTTTCAAGTGGCAACCGTTGGCAAGAACGCAACTCGTCACTTGAAGCACAGTGTCTGGTAACCAATAAGATTTGCATCAACCTCCCTGATCTATCAATGTCGCTGTAAACTGCCGCTGAGAAAAACTGGTTGCCGCATTTTCAGGCAGAGGGACTGACCACGGATGCGTTTATCAAACTACAAAGTGACATGCAAACATGTTTCTCCCAAACTGGCAAAAATGCAGGAGTTGCTGACACCAGAGGCTAGCTGGCAGTTTCTGAAAGCCACTAGAATGTTCGACCCCAACCAGCCCATATCACCTTGCGCAGTGATCCATGCAGCTACGTCGACGTTCTAGACACGGTTGGCCTCCAAGCTCTGGTAGTCGAATGGCAAATCTAACGAAAAATGATGGAAGAACTTCAGTGAGAAAAAGGTGAACAGACGTTGGTTTTCGGATGCGGGATGCATGAAAGAACGTCACAGCTGGCAGACATTGCCGATCAGTATCTATGTATTCCGAAGAATTCGGTAGACGCTGAACGGAGCTTTAGTGCATGCAAAAATGTTATGTCCGACAAGTGTCACAATTTTCCAGACGATAGCGCGAACCACCTTGTGGGCTTTATTTTAATTCCTCTGTTTTGAACCATAACTGACGTGTTTATAATGCATGAAGGTGCCTAGATTTGTTTATTATAGTCTTTGTGGGGAAAGCAGGGTAATTTGCTGGAGGGTTATTTTGAAATACTCGTTGTGATTGGATTGCGATGTGCAATCCCAATGTGAGTCATGATTAATATCAGAGCGAAGCTTGTCAATTCGATCACTGGCATCGTAACTGGTGAAGCAGAAGGAAATTGGATGTTACCCGCCCGAAAACACTGCATTCCACTACGCGTTTCGACTTCGTTTTGAACTCAGCAGGCAGAAATAGCAGGCTTTGAACCCGGGACCACTGGGATGTTAGTAAGAGCGACACGTGGTAAAAACCATTCCTCAGTTTAACACAATACATAAGAGCACTGAACAAGCTTTCGTAATATTTTAAGGTCCAGCCTAGTCAAGGGAAAAGGGGGGTAGTTGGCTACAATCATTACCTTTGGTTACATTGCCAGGACGTGCTCCTGCAGTCACGCTGGTTTGTGAGCTGACAGTGGGCTGCTGTATTGTTGTGGCAACCGGCATGCTCGGGTTCCACTGACTGGGAAAATGTGACGGTGGCATACGTACGTTGTCGGTTGACTCACGAGGTGCGTTTAAACCGTTCAAACCACTGGGGGCTGGTATGCAATCTGGGAAAGAGAGTGGGTCGGCATTTTAAATGACACAATCGGAAGGCATGATAATGATAAGCTCAGGAAAGTACGCGCTCTCTAGTCAGACAATACATGATCGAACGACCATTAATTTCATAATGTAGAGGTACGGAGAATACATAGCAGGGAAAACCGATTTCAGACAACAGATCACGAGACCAGTTACTGTAGAAATTGTTGTTTAACGGCGACCTGATGACACCTATCTCAAAGCACAGTCTGGGCTGTGAAAAAGCAGAACCTCGTCATCGTCATTATACACGTTAGCTGCAGGTGGAAAATATATCAGCTATTGCGCCGCAATACAAAAGACAAGAAAAGAAACAGGGCACGCCGGCTGAGTCCCCAGTAACGGATGGACATTAATTCGGAGAGCTAACCGCCGACTATAGTGCCGCAAAGAGTTATATTACGCCTACCGAATGAGACTGTGATTGGAGAGAGAGGTTAAGCGGGAGGAGGTGGACAAAAGAACGCACAACACAAACGCGGAACAAATTGTACTAAAGCAACTGTGGGTTTACCTAAGTGCCAGTGAAGCAAGATAGAAACGCATAACTTACGAATGGGTGAACGGACTCGTAACTAGGTGCAGATCATCACCATCACCATCAACAGCAGTACATCAGCCATTAAAGCTGATGCATCGTTGCCATACAACCATGAGGACTTATGAAATAAAGAATGAAGAGGGAGAGAAGAGGGACTTACCTGAAAACCTTAATGCCCTAAGCAAACATTCAGGGTCAAGGCGCCTACACCTTGTGTTAACAACATACCGTCACAAACAGCTGGCTATCGTGCAAAGATAAGGCGGCATCGGCGAGACAGTTTCCTTGCAGCTTTCACTGCCACGCGTCATAATCATCCATTACCCTGCAGATAACTCAACACCAAACACACCTTAACTAGGCAATCCGATTAGGAGACAGCAGCAGACGCGCCAGTGATGTCGGTTGCGAGCCATGTTCTGTAAAGTCTCGAGCCAAGCACAAGGCGAGTCATGTGAACTCCAACCCGGAAGACGAGACGGACCAACGATACCCAGTTTGGTCGTCAGTGACTTCATTTCCCGCTGCCAACTCAACTTCTGTCTACCGCGAGTCTTGCGCCACCCTACACCTGGTAGACTGAACAAGGCCCTCCTAGGTAAGCGGTGACCGAGCCAACATAACTTATTCAGTGCTATCTGTTGTCCTAGGGAGCTAGCATGATTATCATCACCTAGTATTCGCCTACGCACATCATCGTTGCGGACACGCTGGTGCCCTCCGGCAATGCGTCCCAGACTTGAAGGAGCCTCAGATCTTCAGACGAAAGGGGGCCAAGTTTCACTACCATAGAGTAAAACGGCCCTCACTGTGGCCTTGTATACACGGCCTTTCAGACGGAGGGAAACAACATTCTATCGTCAAAGATGCCGCAGGTTCAAGAAGGCAGCTCTGGCTTTTGCAATACGTGAGCTGACGTCAGTTTCTATGCGCCCATAGTTGCTGATGCAGCTGCCAAGATAAGTGAATTGATCAACCACCTTGAGTCCCTCGCTAGCAAGCGTCAAGGGGTCATCAAGTGATTGGTGGTCCCGCATCAACACTTTGCACTTTGAAGGTGCGAATTGCATGCCAAATGATGGGACCACTCCGAACAGGCTATTCAGGGTTGATTGTGCCGTCGCAACATCGCCGAAAAGTAAGACGATATCGTCCGCATAATCAAGATCAACTAACCTTTCACCAGGCAGCACTTCAACGCCTACATTGTGAGATTCCCCAAGGGAACACTCTATGATAGAATACACGACGAAATTGAACAAAATTGGGGAAATCGGACAACCCTGACGAATGCCACTTGTGGTCGGAAAACCATCCGACAAGTCACCGTAGACGCTGACGCGGCCTGTAGTGCTCAAGTATAGAACACGTAAGATGTTCACATATTTTGTGGGAACACCTTTCCACGCAAGTAGTTCAAATAGAGCGGATCGATCGACTGAAATCGTGGAACACAGCTATTGTCGGTCTGCGGTACGCGTGGCGCTGCTCTAGCACCTGCCGCAAAGTGAATATATGGTCCATACAGCCACGTCCTGGGCGAAAACCGGCCTGCTCTTCCCTAATCCGAGATTCCTGTTCCGTAGTGAGGCGACGAACGAGAATCGAGGCCAGTAATTTTGTCACAACTGGCGTTAGGCTAAAACCCCTGTGGTTCGCACAGTCTGTGCGACTGCCCTGTTTGTATATTGCCACTATAATCGATTCGCACCAATTAGCCGGCACACTCTCTTCGTTCCAGATACGTTCGAATAGGGAGGTCAGTGCCCTGCAGAGGACCTCACCTCCATCCTTAAAAAGTGCAGGTGGGAGGGAATCCGGGCCGGCTGCACGAAAACACTACGTGCAGATACAATCCCATGTGTTCAGTTCGAGCAGTCTGCACTCATTTAATCATGTAATAAGTAGTGCATTAAAACAAAGTGTCCGGATGTCTGAGTTTTGCAGATCGTTGTCAGTAAATAATGAAGTCATATAATAAAGACTAAGAGGAAAATGTAAAATAGGAAGTACCGCAGTGAGTTCAGATCCTGAATGTGATCAATGGTAACGGCCTGTCCAAGCATCGTGGTAGTAAATGTGAAGAAAAAATGTACTAGTTATAAATAGATAGTAGCAGAGTTACCCCATAGAATCAGGAATTCACAGTGTCAGTTGCAAATGCTATGGACGTAGCGTCTAGTGAGAGAAAGTCATGACCTTCGGAGGCTAGCCACCGTCATCTGCTAAGGTAGAAACCCGCATAGCAGTGGAAGAAGTAGTGATATATCCCAGTTAGCTTGTAAATTATGTAGCCCAGCCGACGTCCCCCATGGTTCAGTGGCTTAAGCTGTTGGCTAGTTGGCATCTGCCACTAGTGGTCATGGGTTCGATCCCCAGTAGAGGACAGAGGGAATGCGCACCACTGGCGAGTCCCGAAACGCGTCTGGTGCTTTTCCGAGCTAGGCTGTGCTATGTAGCTTGTGAGTTCCTGGAGCGAAAACATTAGAATTAAGGGTTAACAAGACCGAAGGGTTTATTCGGGGATTCTAATGCACATTTCAATTAGGTAGCTGAGTAGGCAGAATCATACAACCTCACATACAGTGCACATAACAAAAGAACGTGTCCAGCGTTTTCAAAGGTTTATGCAAAAAAGCGTGTCGCTCGCACAGTGGAAGAATGAGACTGGCACACTGCAAATTTTGTTTCGAAGAAGAGAAGACGCAACCGGTTTGACTTTAATAAGTGATCCTTTTGAGTAACGTTACAAGTATCCCTACGTGTAACAAATCGAATGAGACTTAACAATAGTCCATAAAGCTGGATCTGCAAGTCTGCTGCGTTACTATCGCTTAGAACATGTAACCATTTGCGGTTCGTTCACCATCTGGCTAACCCCAATATGGATATCGCAATCATTGGGCGCCACACAAGCATTTATGAATACAAAGAGGGCGTTCCAAGTATCGCACACGGTGCCACTTCGTAGATGCTCACTGATGATAACTGCTGAGTTTCTAACCGAGTACAATCAGCAGACCAGTAGGACAATACCATTCCAGAATAATCGTCAGCAACGTAAAATTGTAGTCTATAGTTTGAGTCTGCTCCAGCTAAAGCACCGGTTGGATTTCCCTATTTTCAGCCGGGGCTATCTGCATACTCCGCCAGAAAATCTGAGGTGAATGTAATATCGTTCTAAAGTTACTGGGCTGTACATATCCTTAAGTTGTAACACCTTAGTTTGATCTAGACGTTGCGTCCAGTTCGGTCTGGTTAATCACGGCGCACAGTAAATCCAGCTACCATAACTGGCGACAGAGTGATAATGAAAAAGCAAGAGGTGGGAAAGATGCGAATAAAAAAGCTTAGTTAAAACGACGAACGATTTCGGTGGTGAATAATTCAGGAAATAAGACAGATGCGCAAGCGAACGCTTTTCTCGTGGAGGCAATTGCGGATAGGTTTCAATTGTTTTACGGTGAGACAAATAAGCAATTAAAGATAAGCATCAGTAATGTCTTAAAGAGAGGGGTCCTAGACTAGTCATCTGGTTTAGTCAAATATCGCAACAGCTCGTACGATGTTGTCAAAACTAAAATGACTGGCAGTAGGGTCACCGGGCACTCGCTTTTGTAACGAAAGATGATTACTTGCCTCTATATGAACTCGTCATTGAGCTGCATGAGCCATCTTGTCATCAATCTGCAACTTTCATCGCCTGATCAGTCGAATTAGCAGGGTGAAGACATCACCATCGGTTGCTGTTGTCAAGGCTACATAATCATATGCGAATCAATCCGGAGTTCCTAGCTTGCCCCGGATCAACAGTAGATGTGTGCTATAGTTGAACTGAGGCTTGGCGATACTCGTCCGTGCAGCAAGAACCAAAATGATACAGCGAGACCTTCAACCCCGAACCTTTAGGTCACCTTCAGTATAGGTTGACCGCAACGCGAGCTTAACAGTGGCCACATGCACTCGATGACTCTACCACTTTTCAGTCCGTACTACTGAAATGTTACCTACTGTCCGATTTTTCCTATCTACTCATACTCAGATATTTAATGCAAAGAAACCTAGGAAATTTGTAGAGCTGATTGATAACCTATTTCGCTTCAAATAATGCTAGGTAACTGGTTTCGGTCTCACTGTGGACGACAACATAGAGCCCCAACATCACTCACTGAGTTGCGCACAGGCTCAACCGACTCGACAATTGGACAAGAGAAGGATTGATTGGTCTAATTCCCTGCGAACTCACGAAGTATTTGATTCATGACCCGAAACAGGGGATCCTTATATGCAATATCTCCGTAATTTATATAATTGGCTTGACTTCCAGCAAAAATAAACCACAAAAACACGGGCCTCTGGTTGCGGAACACATTGATCTGAATCTTGGACCGAGCAATTAGACAGGTTAACAGCACCTGGGCTGGAGTTACGCAAGCCCAGCAAGGCGCAAATCCACCGGAACCTGCAGTGGGACTCCAGTGTCCATGTGCTATAACCAGCCCCGTGATGTAACAGGAGATGCAAAAGAATAACACTATCCCTAAGTACAAATAATAATACCCCACGTTGGAACCGTATCCGGCTTGTCTGGAAATAAACCTGTTTATTTATTTGTTTATTCTCCTATTGCAAAGTCCTTTTATTATAACTGACAGACGGGGCAATTGGATGAAGTGTGTTTGTCGCTATGGCCATAATGGACAACCGAGTTGCAGCAGTGGCAGATAATCAGGGATATGAGTACATCTGGACGAACACAATGAGGATAAAGCAAAAAGCCTAAAATGGATCAGAGAACATGCCTCATGAAACGACAGGGAAAGAGTCTGTGTAGAGAGAAGCAACGCATGCATCAACAAAAAGTAAGAGCGAAAAAAGCGAGACAAATGGGGACATGTGGGACGACGTGTGAAAGTTCGTGGAGAGTTCATTCACATGGTGCGAACGCAACAGACCACAGTTCAGTAACAGTTGCAACCTGTGTGATTTCTAGAGATAACAGATTAGCTTGGGTGATGTGGAATCCCTAGTTATGGTGATAGGATGGTGCCTGCTATCAGTATGTTGCGAGTGTCACCACGCGAAAAGAACAGAGGAGAACTTCAGAGCGAGTTAGGGTACAGGTAGTAACAGAACCGTAGTGAACAACGTACCAATTGGGACTGAAGGTAGAATGAGAGATTGAACGAAATCTTCGAAGCAAGTGTAGGCAATGTGGCGGTGGATGATCTGCCTCAAACTGGCCGCTCTTTCCTCGTAACTTGAATATACGTGTCAAGAAGCGATAGCCAAACTCATAGAAGAAATTATGCAATACAAAAAAACCAAAGACAGGTACTCATAAGGGTGTTTGTGTGCAAGCGAAACACACAAAAACGTCTACACGTCTCACCTGCCAATATAAAATGAGAAACCAAAGAAATGCGCTTGAGACAGAGGTGAGGAACATTCAAGGTGAATACGACAATCGACAAACAGCTTCGTTTGGTTTAATTAAGAAGTACTGAGTACTGCGAAAGTGTAGGTGTTCAGCGCTTAAAGTACAGCATAACATGAGTGACCAACCACCTACCACAACAAGTGGGAAGGAAGGTATACTATTGAGGGACTCGAATGAAAAGAATGATTGTCTGGTGCTGCTTAGCATATGGCGATTGCCTAATAATTTGCTGCCGCGGTGAATCTAACTGAAATGCGGTCACAAAATCTCTAAAGAGTGGCCAATGAATATATTAAACTGACAGTAGAGAAGTTTGTTTCCGTGAAGTGGTGGAGTGAACACAACACTATCCACTCAGCGGTTAGTTAAATGACAGCAGTCTAACAACGTGTTCACTAAATGAATGTCCCCTAAACCAACAGAATAATGTAACAACAGTGTACGACATTTCGGACGCAGCTCAGACAATTAGGGTACTTCTTAATGGAACAGCGGACGAAGCAAACTCACAAGGTGCAGCCTTGAAATAGAAGCTCAGTGTTTCGCCAAGAACCGAAAAGCGAAGGCAGTAAGTCCATGACGTGGCATATGGGTATGAAGAAAGTGACTGAGACTTGGTCTGGCTGTTGCGTATAGTCTTCGTGTGTGAGGGCCTTAGAGTAGTGCATACCAATGTTTGGAGACCGTATCAGACTTGGCGCAGTCACGCAATCAGTGTTGTCCCTGCATTCTGTTTTTTGCACCTGGTTGTCAATTTTCGCTCCATTCTGAGTAGTCTAGTGCACATTCTTCTTGCATCCATTTTCTTTACATTGTATTTGCAATCAACCCCACTATTTTACCGTCATTATTTCTTGTTATTCTTGCGATGTGAGTTGTGGCAACTGGATCCGCCGTACTTCGGTGCCCGGATCAAAGATGTTCAAATAAAATGAACTGAATAGAGGGCAACAAATATGACTCAGGTTGACCGCAATGCGCGCAATCGAGGGCCGCTCAGACTAAACGATGACAGGCATTTTGAATTGTTCCTACAAAGCGAAAACATGATACTGCTGATGCCTTCCTTCTTTCTTCTTTTCCTGCACATACTCTCCCTGTCCCAAATTCAATTGACCCCCTACCACCGCCAACACAGCTGATTGCACGTGCGATTTCCCGCAACAGAAATCTTATATCTCCACGCAAAGTACTAAACATCGGGTGCTGGAACGTGCGCACACTACTCGACCATAACACGAGTGAATGTTCTGAGCAACGCACTGCTCTAGCCAGGATGGAACTCGCGCGTTACAAGATCGAAATTGTCGCACTCGGTGAGAATCGGCTCGTTGATCAGACGAAGCTGCATGAAGCTGGTGCTGGTTAGACGTTCTGCTGGGTGGGAATCGCCATCGCAGCACCACCTGATCATGAAGTCGGATTTGCACTAGCCGATCGCCTAAATGACCAGCTAGCGACAGAGCCGACTGAGGTCAGCCAAAGACAGACAACTCTTCGCCTGGAATTTGGAAGAGGTAAATTGATGCTATCTTGATGACAGGAGGGATCAGTTTTACACTCAGATGTCCTCCGTGATACGGTCTGTGTTGAGGAGCAAACTGCTATTCTTATTCGGCGATTATAAAGCGCGCATTAAACGTGATGCAGTAGTGTGGATATACATCATCAGTCCGCATGAGGTTGGCTCAGCCAATGGGTACCGTGCGCGGTTGCTCACATTGTGCGCCACTCTCGGCCCGACGATCATGAACACCCAGTAACGTTATCAAAACATCAAGTTATCATGAACTTATGTTTAGTTTAGGTGTTGGGAATCATAGGCAATTCATCAACGCCAATGGAGTGAATCTCACAAGAAGGCGCTTGTCCAGGTTCAGGAAGCACTATTGGCTGCAGAAAAGAAACGCCGCGTACAAGAGTGACAAGCGACGATGCAGGATAGTCCATCGAAGCCAAGCGCATGGGGCTGTAGCACATGCGGTTACAAGTGCCTGAGCCAAGCCGATTTGGTAAGCCGCCAAAGTGGCAAGGGGGAGACATCTAAAAGAAGACGAATCAGCTGAACATGTAATCATCGTCAGCGCAGCGCTTGGTAGGTACGGTGCTTAAATAAATAAATAGTACATTCTCGAGTACACACAAGACACATCAGTGAAGGCATGAGCAATTCTTTACGGCCATAAACACGTGGATCACAAATAATCGGTATTTAGTTCTGTTAGAAATGCCTAACGATGGAGGATTTAAAACTGTAAAAGCACCAGTATGTACGAAAAAGAATATGTCATGTAGTTTATGTTACAGTCATTCTGGTCAGTCAAATAGTGGTGTTGTTGAAGCGATTGCTGGCGCAACTACTCGCAGTCAGTTGCCACCATTTTCCGTTCGTTTGTTAAATGGCTACGGCGGATTGCAATAAGTCCGGAAACTGGCTTTATAAATGGAAATGAAAGAAGTGATAAAAACAGGGTGGTTTTCTGTGGAATTTTCTTTACATAATTCGCTGTATATTGGCAGGTTTGTGTGGACTCAATATCCATCAACTGACCAGGAGGACTGTGCACCATTTCGCCAACAGCAACGATTCACAATCTCTTGGAGCCATTAGCCGAGGTGGAGGGTGTTAGACAGATAGGCACCTTGTCAACATTCACATCAAGCGCAACCACACCGGGGATATCAAACAACCAATACAAAATTTGAAAGGAAACAAACACGCAAAATCGACACGGAATACGCAGCAGAATAACAAAACTGACTAAATCTGATAAAGTAGGATACTTTGTATCCAGATTAACATAGTTAAATTGAAGTCGGTGTAGCCCAACTGTGGGGAAGTGAAAGTTAGATGGCCAGTGAAAAAAGACAGAAAAGTTTTGTTATTACTTGTGCTGGATACTTGAATGAAGCACTGAAAATCCCCGAGTGTATCCGTTCGATGCATGGCTACCGATTTTATGGCCTACGTGTGACAAAGTTACATCTCTCCTGCCCTAATCAATCAGTGCAAGATTATTTGCTTGAGGCCACATTAGCTTTTCATCAGTCTCCCGAATTTAGCACACATGATAAACCAAGAGCACATCGAGCGAACATTCATTCTTAGAGAGCAACTAGCATATTCGGTGAGCGCTTGTTCATATAACAATTTTTCACGGATGACTCCAAACGTTGTAAATGTGTGCAGAAAAGAGGGCCTCAACAAACAACCTCTTGGGCGGGCTCACAAACGGACTAGGTACTCAAATCGGCGATCGACTTTCGCGACACGTCACACGTCATGTGACTGCTGGTAAATCAACTTCCAAGATGAACCCTGACCTGGCATACGTCTTGAAGACTGTAACGGACCGGACATACAGCCCACGCAGATCGCTAGAAGTATTCGTGGCACAACTTTGGAAGATCCAGCATCCACAAGCGAACAGCTTAAAGCTAGTCTGTAATAATACGACAGTTCCCTATATACAACTAGGCAACGTCTCTCATTGTGTCCAGGATGGTGAACAAATCAGTTAACATTGAACCGACCAGCCTGAAACACATAGACATGTAGTAAACAGAGGTTTCTTGACGATCGCGCTAGTCAGTTGTGCGCGCTATTCGCTAGATCGAAGGTGCCAAAGAAGAAACTGATAAGATGCACAGAAGACAAAAAGGTTAACCCTCCGAACAATCTGAAAAACACCTAGTAGGTTTAGCATAGTGAAGAGAGACGAATCTGAGATGCGGTCCTTGAGGTTTGCTACTAAAAGAAGGGAAGTAACAAGAAGCTAAATGCGCACATCAGAGTCACAATAATCTGCCAGGACTGCTTATAGGCCATCACGCAAACTCACAAGGACAAGTGGGTGCATCAAGACGACTAGAAAAAGAACAAGAAGCTTCTTCATGTGTATGTACAATGGAACAATGGTTTATGACGGGTATAAAAGCAATGCTTAACAGGTCCCGTAGGATGATGAGAATTAACATCGTAAAATTAAAAAAAATCGTATCGATGAAAGTACGTGTGAAATGCATGACTCACCAAGGGATCGGAGATGCACATAAACAAGTAATCCAATAGGAATTTTAAGTGGATTCCGTCCACGTTCGTTGTTCACTAATACCGTCATCCGATGGTCGCACGTTATATCACACAGTGCAATCGTGTCAGAGTTTCGTCAAGGCGTTTTTTGAAAAGGGATAGGGTGGGAGCGTTAAATACATGTTCTGGAAGGGCGTTCCAAGGTTGTGACACTCGGAGGGAGAAGAAATTGCGTCGACATTCCAGTCGACTGTACTGTGTGATCAACTTAAACTGATGACCTCTTAGGGATGCGTTTTGACTACGTTTCAAAAGGGAATGACACGTGTGGTTGGGGGTTCTCAGTATCCGATACACCAATATGAGATCGCCTCTCAAACGACGGTAACGTCCACTGTGTAAGTTAAGAGTTTTCAGCCTGAGTGGGTAGGGAAGGCTAGAAAGACCTTTGACGTATTTTGTCGCTCTGCGTTGTGCAGTATCGAGTGCAGTGAGGTGGCACTTCTGTCATGGTTGCCACGCTTGAATAGCGTATTCTGTGTGCGGTCTAACAAAAGCGCTAAGCATTTTCGGAAAGATTGAGGCGTCAAACTTCCCAAACGCTCTACGCAGAAGGCCAAAGTGTTGGTTTGCTCTCTTGGAGGCCTTTTCGGTCTGCATTAAGCACCCAAGATCTTCTTGTACAAGCACGCCAAGATCGCGCTCATGAGAGGTCCGCTGTAGAATGTCAGGTCCTAAGCGGTAGTTATACGCACTCTGATGGCGTATGCTCAAAATTTTGCACTTTGTGGTGTTGAACTGTAGCATGTTCTCGTTTGACCACTTGTATGCTTTGTCCAAATCATCCTGCAAGGCTGTGTGATCCTCTCCTGAAGCTATGGCACGCCATATCTTTAGGTCATCTGCAAACAGCAGAAAGTTGGAAGATAGTGCAGCTGCAAGATCATTTATGAAAACAATGAACAAGCGAGGCCCGAGTACCGAGCCCTGAGGTACGCCACACTGAACTTCGATTGGTTCCGACAGGGTATTTCGGACTCTCACATTCAGGTGACGTTGAACGAGAAATTCGCCTATCCATCCTAGAATAGGATTGCCGATACCACAATGCTGCAGCTTGTTCAGTAAAATCCGATGGTCCAGTCGGTCGAATGCCTTAGAGAAGTCCAAGTAGGCTACATCCACTCCGACTTCGGCGTCCACAGACTCTGTCCAGTTTGAACGAGCAATCAGCAAATTAGTTGTGCAGGACCTGCCTTGGCGAAATCCGTGCTACTCCGGAACGAGGATGTTTCTGACGGGTGCAACAAGGGACCTCATCACTAGTCATACTGGTTAAGCAGGGGAAAGGAGGGTGGTGAACATGTTGCGGCTTTGAAAGTCCCCGCTGTTACAGAGTGTGATTGGGTTGTACATTTACCCATTTACTGATCAAAAATCAGGAATCGCGCCACATTTACGGCGCTCTGGCGAGCATGAGACACTTATCCAAAAGAACCAGCAGTGGTAGCCATGGATCCAATGCCTCAGTTCTGGTCAATAAGTCAACTGTGATCCGAGTGCGACAGATTTAGTTGCTATGAGCCAAGCCACGTAATATCATATGCGAAAATGGAGCGGATAATAATGGAAACAAGTAATGTAGAAGACTTTAAGGGAAAAGGAATAAGACTGTAAACAGGATTAACAGGTAGGGGCAATAAAACTAGTGCAAGAGCGCTATCGGTAACGTGGTTGTGCCGTCAAATACAGTTTCCAAACGCAGATTTCGTGAGCCGTAACCATAACGACATGCGCGCACCTAGGTAAGTTTTCCGATTTTTTCATACTTCTTCCCAACGGCGTCAGTCGATCACATGGGATTCAGCGAACCAGTCGCAGCACGCACCAAGAAAGACAGTTGTGAAACTCCCGAAGAACGTAACCCCAATGTGTACTGTTTATAACGAACAGCCGACTCATATGGGTACGAGAGGCTTTGCTCGCAAACGCCAGCTTAAGGATACCCAACAGCGTTCACTTCTTGCAAGTCACAGCAGACGTGAGGTAAGCTAAACAAAGACCTAATCTCTTTTTAGTATTTTCAGTATGACCGCGTTGCCGATCCAGGAATGAACAACGGTGGCATTGTGGCATTCTACAACGTAGCCTCAACAGAAAAGACAATATCTGGCCAACTAATTCTAGCAATTGCTAGCTACTCAAGTGAAAAGGCAATGACGAACCCAGTTGCGGTAGAATCTTGCACTCTGAAGCTGTGTGCGGCGTTTCGAAATGCCCAAAAATACATGGAGCGATATCATATAAGCAAGTACTCGGCAGAATTTCCACTCTAAACGTTGAAGTATTGTCATAATGCAGTGTGGTGCAACTGCATGTGTCAAGACGAACTCATGTAAGTCTTCCATAGTACCACAGTCCGGTACGTATTCCAAGTCCAGGGAAATAAGAAGGAACTGGTTAGTAAAGCAGTTATAGAACATTTTGTGTTTCTGAGAGGGCTCGTCCCAGCCGGGCCTCGTCAGACAGACATCCACAAATGCAGGAAACACTGCAGTCATAGCACAGATCTAGCATCTGGCAGATGGAAAATGCCGGATCAGTGAGGAATTTAACAGAACGGAGATTAGTTAAGAGGCTGCAGTGTAGATGGAAGACAGAACGTAAGTCAACTCAAAGACAGTATAGAGTGAACAAGCTTTCGGCTGATCAACCTGATATCGGGTGTGCACGATGAAGGACCCAGTGTGAACCGCGATAGACGATTTGAGCTTACTGCAAAAACGTTGCGAACTAAGGAATTTGACGGCTATGGCCAATAGTGTTTAACAATAAGCTAACCTCGAAGCAACTAGATGAATAAAGATTTGTTGCGGAAGCTTCACTTGAAGCTTACAACGAAGTAGCCGGAAATGTGATTGCAGAGCTCCGAAGAAATCTAACTGAGGTCGAATGCGTGCATACTTGGAAGATTCAGAATAAATTGTACATGTTTCTTTCGGCCATACCAATGATACGCTTCCTCATTTCATGGGTCCGCAAAGTATTGGTGAAGGGCTGCATGAACTAAGGTGGGTGGCAAAAAGCTAGTGAGCAACAATCTCGCACATTAGCAACATTGCAAAAGTGACCGCTTCAGAAAGTCCATTCTTTGCTGATGACGACGAGAGATGGTGGACGATCAAAACACTGTATAGACACAATAAACATCTTAGACGCCTTGATGGTGCATCTAAGTTGACGGTGCACTTAAATTGATGGATTAAACTACGCTGACACGTGGCGAACCAGGACAAGCGGCATGATACACTTACGTCAGTGGGCTTAGGGCGCATAAAATAAAGACCAATTCCCAGGGACGCGACATCAAATTGTCCTTCGGTGCTCTGATAAGAGATAGTTAAATGAATTGATGTGGGCAAACTCCACAGCGCCTTTCCGTAAGGTGGATAGACGCCACAATTAATCCTCCGTCTATGCTGACATCATTATCATTACACGCTATTTGAAGGTGAGAAACACACTCGGTAATTGTACCGCAACCCGAAAAGATAAGATATATGCAAGAGTAAAGGAATAGAGTAAACAAGTAAAAAACTAAAGTATAATGCCAAGCATCATATTATGTTTGAAGTGAGATCGTGATTGAAGGAGAAAGATATGAGAGGGAAGGTAACAAAGAAACTCACAGTACAAAACGCCACGTCAACCAGTACATCCAACCAGACATGTGCCTTGTCCATGGGACCCAAACAAGGCAGTCGAGAGACATTAACCGACTCCAACTTCAAGGTGAGGGACTTCATTAAATTTGATCAAGTCATCACTTGGCATCTTCTTTTCTGCTTCCATCCAAAATCCCGCCAGGCAAACAACGCACTACGCGGGAGTCGGTGTGCTGGCATGAGCAACACGTAGCCCAACCATCAGAGCCTGGTGCGTGAAATAACGGTGCTGAGTGGTTCACTTGCTCTTCCTGCACCAAAATACGCGACGCCGAACATGTTCATTGCTCACGCAGAGCCAAACGACAAAGGCAGCGAGGAACGAACGTAGCTAGCCTCTTTAAGTCTGTCGACTTGATGGGCCGAATTCCATAACCATACAGGATGGTAGAACGGAGGACAGGATTGTAAACTCTGCACTTAAGAGCGGGAGTGATATCGCGCCGACACCACAGGTGGCGGATGGGGAAAAAGCACCTTGAACTTTTGCTAAATGTTCGTGATCTCATTTTCTATTCCACTTGCATTGATATAGCTACCCAGTTTGTATCAACCCACTCAGTTTGAACGGCGCGCGTAAAACTCTGATAATGTTCACCTAAGTACGGGAACGCCTTTCCTGAGTAGACAGCCCCAAATGGTACATTGGATCCACTAAATCCAACACAGCTTTTATATCGATTAGCACGGCTAAGGAGGGTATCCAGTAAATATAACGGTGCTCTAACAATTGACATATTGTGAATATGTGAACAATACAGCCGCGACTGCGACGAGACCCGGCTTCCTCCCCGCGAATCCGGCTTTCGCGGGTGCCAGCCAGTTTATGGAGGACGGCAGGGACAAGTAATGAAGATTAGATTGATCCATCTATGGTTGACGTATTTCGGATGTAAGCATTCTTGTAATGTTGGACTATAACGGACTGGCTTTAGTTTGTTGGGACAGTCCCCTGCTACCACAGCTTCACTAGTAAGTAGTGCAAATCGGCTAAAAGAGCTGGTCTCCGAATCTGAAGAGTGCTGCAGGACGTCTACCTGCTCCTGCGGCCTTGTTCAATTTTAACAGTCTGATCCCACATCCGACTTCCGCGCTGAGTATATCCCATGGGACGGCCCAAAGAGAACGGCGATCAATTGCCGATGAGGGAGCTGGTAACTCTGGCTGTTTAACTGTTTTGCAGTGTTTGGCCTAGCGTTTTAAGCGTTTTGACAGACTGTGAATTGGCCGTCTACCCTCGTCACGTAATGTCTATCTAACACCAGATCCCCTACTGCCCGTTTCACGTATCAGACGAAATAACTTCCGATTGTTACCAAAGGCAGCGGCCATTTCTATCGATGCACGATAGACCACCACGCTTCGCGGTCTCTCTTCAAGCGAGCACGCAGTTTTGCCGAGGTACTTGCTAGCGTTGTTGCGTTCGCTTGCAGCCGGAACACGTCGGTGAGCATGCAAACGGTAAGTAGACTGCATAGAGACAATGTCCAGGTTGAGAATTTGATTTATTCGGAGCATCGCTTTATGAATCAACGGTTTATTTAAAGGAATACACATTTTCGCAAATCGAAATTCCCGTATTTATTGTGATTAATGACTGGGAGGTGTGAAATAATAGCCTCTGATTCACCGGTGTGGCAACGTCGCATCGTAATATTTACCTAGTTACTCAAAGTGCCGAAGACTTACTGCAAGTGAAGATGGTTAGTTATTGCAAAAGTAAGCATTGGAAGAACATATGCTTAAGGAAGGAATTGATTGGGTATAGGCTGATTGAAACCATGGAAACGGTTTCCGAGGCCACGAGGTGCAACAATCAGAAACAGCAAGGTTTCGACTGAGGAATAATATAATACGTAGAAGGGAGCTGCATAACCACGTGGTTGAATTGTAGGAAACGCCGGCACAATTGCAGGACGAAAACAGAAGCATTTCTGAACGGTAAAAAGAAACATGGAAAAAGGATACTGGGCACCGTAACCGGGTTTCATCGCGCGCACCGCACGGCTTGCACTGATAGCAGTTGCGCGAACCAAGCCGGGTAGAGTTTTAAAATCAAGAACGGCCAAATGCACGATAGGCCCGAATAAACCGACCTGAGAAGAAGGAATGATAAAAGCATTCGGGTGATAACGAGTACGATATCGACATAGTGAGGGGATTCAAATTCGTACACAATGTGTGAGAACAATGACACATATTTAGGTCGAAGATAGATGCGATGAATAATGCGATTCCCGCAACCAGGGCTCGACATGAGAGGTGTATATTAAGAATGCCAGAATATTGGACGGTGAATAAAAATAAAAAGAGTAAATCAGTGCGCAACAATACATGAAACCTTGCAATCATAAACAGTGAGAGGTCGTCAAACGATAGAGCAGCACGCAATGACAGGGGATGAAGATTACAGCACAAATCTGCGTATCGCACAGCAGTAAATACATTCGTACAGCGCACAGAAAACAAGTAGGTGGTGCAATAGCTGAGGACTATGATAGGCTTTCGTACCCCAGTTTTCCGTTGAACCTCAACTCGAAACAGCCCTGACGGTAGTGGTGAGATGATGATTAACACGTCACCGAACTGAGTGCGAAGAACTCCTCGAGTGAACGCACGCGCATTCTCCGTCCAGATAATCATAACATCGTCGTTCCCCAAGTGTTTGTACTGGAAAGGGAGAAAAATGAAATCAACAGTAGAACTCCAAAGACATTTTCGAAGTCAGTGTAGTTGCGGACATGACCGAAAATGCTGAACGGCAAATGGATATAGAAGCAGACTACATCTCAACAACTACGATAGGAGGGCCAACAAGTGAAGGATCGAGCTACGAAATGCCAAATCCTCATGGTAGTAAGCATAGAAGACAGGCAAAAGAAGATAAAAAATGACCTAGACAATCGCCGATACATCGAGTGCTTTGTGTTGGATGTAATTCATAGTCACTGATAAGGTCGAACCAGTGATTTCCATGCGACAAGAAAATTGATGAGAAAACGCAAGTAGGTAACGGACTGCATATAAATAGAATAATGGGGGTAGCGGACACATCTCGTGCAGCGAGAAGAGACAGCTGGAGAAAATTTTCATGCGAGGATGGGACGAGTGTTTGAATGTTGACACCAGGTAAAGGAAGAGGGCCATGATGGAACAGACACAAGTCAGGTTAGCAAAGTAGAATTGTGGTGACGAAAAGCAGAAAGCGAAAGTTAAAAGCGAGAAAAAGAGGAAAATAGGTTAGGCATTCAAGAGGAACAGAATGAGGTCAGAAGCGCGAGCATCGTCAGAGATGGCCCTCCGCTAGTACAATGCGTCTGGAGGGCTATGTGCTATCTAAGCTCCGGGAAAACATAGCCAGGAGATAAACCGGAGAGGGTACGAGATATCCTACGATCCATAATAATTTGTGATTTTCAGGAATGACGGTGAAGGTCAAATTTGACTGAAATTGCAGTTGATTGAAGGACACCAAAAATATAACACTGCCCAAAAGACGCTTCTAAAGAATCCCATTTCCATAAACATCGATTCACAAGAAAATAAAAAAAGCACGTACAGTGCATGAATACGAATTTTCCACACTAGATAGTCATAGCCATCATTATGTTATCCTCAGTGTTACTGCACTGGTCCCCACAAAATGTGCCAGTGCCAATCGATTCGGTACTTTCGCCTTAGTGAACTTGTAAAAGTAAAGCATCAAAGTTCCAATATATAACTATATATACCGAAAGCGAGTCGAAATCTTGGGTACGGAAGCAATCCGAGCAAAGTTGGTGTAGAGCGAGTAGTTTGATAATGCGAAACAATTGAGGGGCGAGGTTGCAAAATTAAGGTCCCATGGGGCTGTACTGTTTGTATTATTGTGATCGACTCGCAGTTGCCGGTCTTTTGACAAGCGGAAGAACAGAGAGCGCCTGCTCAGTGAATCCCGACAGTAACAATTCAACATGATGATTCTGAAGCTGATTGGTGTGATGGGAGTATACACTCGAACGAACATGCGGTGCCAGCCCAGCAAAGAAGCCGTTAG